CGAGCTGAGCAGCCGCTGAGCTGCCAACAGGTGGCAGGATGGCTCAGCTAAAAAAAATATATATATATTGCCATAGTTCAGATGAGAGATGGTGGTGACCTGGATCACAATAGAAGCACTAGAGTGAGAAGTGGATGGACTTAAGATGGGGAACTCAAAAGACCTGATTATCATTTTCTCTCTGTCTCTTACTTTTTCTTTTAAAATTTAACTCTGGGGCTAGCTGAGTGGCTCAGTTGGTTAAATGCGTGAGCTCTGAGCAACACGGTCGCCGGTTCGATTCCCACATGGGCCAGTGAGCTGCGCTTGAGCTGAGCGGCCAACAGGTGGCAGGATGGCTCAGCTGGTGAGAGCACGTACTCCTAACAACAAGGTTTCCGGTTTGACTCCTGCATGGGATGGTGGGCTACACCCACCCGCAACTAAGATTGAACACGGCACCCTGAGCTGAGTGGCTGGGAGCTGCTGGCGGGTGGCCAGATGGCAACTGGACTTGGAGCTGAGCTAGCTGCACTCTCCACAACTAAGATTGAAGGACAACTTGGCTGTTCCCCTTCCCCAATTCCCCAATAAAATCTTTTAAAAAAGTTTTTTTGGGGGCCGGCCGAGTGGCGCGATGGTTAAGAACTGGCTTGGGACACCAGAGGGCCCCGGTTTGGATCCCACATGTGAGAGCCAGTGACACTGCCCTCCACAAAAAAAACAACAAAAAAACAAACAAAAAAAGAAAGTTTTTTTTTAACTCTGGTTGTAGTATAAAGACCAAATTAGAGAGGGTAGAGGTAAGGAGTAGAGGGACTAGAGAGCCTCTCAAAAAGACCAAAGACCAGGTCAAGGTTATGAGGACCTGAATTAGGGCAGTGACAATAGAGATAGAAATGAAGAATAAATTGAGAGATGTTTTGGGGGTGGGGGTGGTACAGACAACCTGAAGACTGACTGCATAGTGAGGGAAGAGGAGGAGTGGGGTCTGAGGAATAGAGAGGAACTGGAGATGACTGAAGTTTCTGGCCCGGCGGGATGGTGATGCCATTGCTGATTTCCAGCAAGTTTTAGGAGGGAAGATGGGGGACATTAGTTTCGGACACGTTGATTATTAGGGGGACCTGATTTTAAGGAGCTTAGCAGGCAGTTGGAAATACAGATCCAGTGCTCAAGACAGATGTCATTCACTCACTCATTGATTCAGGACGAAAGTCCTCCATTCTTCAACAAGTATTTATGGAGTACCTACTATGTGCTAGGTTCTAGATACTTGAACAAAACAAACAAAAACCTCTGCCCTTATGTTCTAGTGGGAGAGATATCAGTAAACGGTAAACATGATAACCAAATACATTGTAAAGTGCTATGGGAATGACGAGGTTGTAATTTTTAATTGGGTGGTGAGGGTAGGCCTTCTTAAAAATGTGACATTTGAGTAAATACCTGGAGGAGATGAGCTGTCTGTGTATATATACTGGGAACAGGGTGGAAAGGCCATAGGTGGGAGCAATCTTATGTTCCAGGAACAGCAGAGGCCGTTTGACCAAAGCAGGGTGAGCAGAGGGAGTTGGAACAAATGGTGAATGTAAGGGTTCAGAAGTAAATTCATCAGACATGGATGGTTAACACAGCTTAACTGGAGAATTACAATAATAAGAAACATAACAGCAACAGCATGAAATACATATAATATGCTTTCTATGTGCCAAGCACTGTTCTAAGTGCTTTCAATTCATTTCATCTTCATAATAACCCAATGTGGTATCATCTTCACTTTCATAGCCAGGGAAATGGAAGCACAGAGAAAAGGCTAGAAAAGTAGGCCAGGCCCGTAGAAAGCCTTGACTGTCACACAAAGGAGCCTAGGCTTTATTCCACAGACAGTGGTAAGCCTTTAAAGGTTTTACATGATCAGAACTGTACTTTAGAAAGAGTCATCTCATGGGATCCTTTAGAGTGGATTGGAGGTGGTAGGAATTGAATGAAGATGGTAGCAGATGGAATAGAACAGAAAGAAGTATGAACAATTATGTAGGACATTAGGAGACAGCAACGGAAAAATCCATTATGAGGAATCTATCATGTAGGGTCTTTTCCTCAGTAGAGTGGATTCTTAAATCTGAGGAGTTAATTCCCTTTGATAATCATGATGACAGCTGTTAGCTCTTTCTTTAGGAAAATGCACATACCTCTACCTTTGTGTACAATTTCAGGTGGTTTAGGACACCCCAGAGCACATCTAGGCTAAGAATTCTCTGGCTCTCAGAATTAGGAGATCTAGGCCTGAGTCCGGCTGTGTTCTGGTGCACATCAGCTGTGACCTTGGGCAAGTCACTCTATTTCTTTAAGCTCCATTCCCTTTATCTGTGAAATGAGGTTACCAGGTCTCCAAGGGCCCTTTCAGGACAGAAAAGTCTCTACGCTCCTGGAGCTTACTTAGGAACTAGACACGTAAATAAAGTGTGATAGTTCAGATTGAAGTGTTAGGAGGCAAATTAAAGCAGGGTAAGGAGAGGAGAATGACTGAAGTATGCATGAGTATATGCTTGCTAGTTTTGATAGGCTGGTTCGAGTGACCGTTCTGTGCCTTTCCTCAGTTTCCCTGTACCCCGAGTCCCCAATTCACTTTTTGCTTCGTCTCCTGACAGGAAAGAACTGGGATGTGAATGCCGCCCTCAATGACTTTGAACAGCTGCGTCAAGTCCATGCTGGGAACCTACCCCCACCCTTTAGCGAAGGGAGTGGTGGCTCCCGGATCCCTGAAAAAGGGTTTTCTGATAGAGAGTCTACTCGCCCGCCCCGACCCACCCTACAGCGGCAGGATGACATCGTTCAAGGTACTGGGGTAACGGAGGGGTGTTTTGAACACCGAGTAGAAAGGAAGGGCGGGGAGTGACCTTTCGGAGATGGTTCCATTCCTCCCCATTCTTCCCAGTCAAACTGGTCAGAGGCGGCCTCAGTTTGTCCGGGTGCTGGAGCCTCTCACTGTCGCTCTGCATGTTGAGTGTATCCTGTATAAAGGCCTTCAGGTACTGTGAAAAAAGAGAGGAAGGAAGGTACAATCTAATTGTTGAGATGAGGTACACATAAAGATAGAAGTCAAAGAGTCACCACCATCTACCTCATCGGAGGCCATTTTGTTAAAATTTGTCAATATCTACCAAAACTTAAAAATGCAAATCTACCCTGACTCATTATACCCTATGTGTATGTACGTGTTATATACAGAGAGTGCCAAAAAAATGTATACATATTTTAAGAAAGAAAAAACTGTATTACTCAATTACAAAAAATTGTAATACTCAATATATACCGATAACAAAAGATGAATACATGTCATGTGTATACATTTTTTTGTCACCCCCAGTGTATACCCTTTAAGTAAATCAATACACACATAAATAGACACATACATATATATAGAGTACAACTTGAAAGTTAAATCTTGAAAACGACTTTTAATGTCTGTTAGTAGAGGAGCATTTAAATAAATTGTAGTCATCCATAATGTGGAATCTTCTGGAATCCTCTGTAGCCATTAGAAAGAATTAGGTAGAACTTGATGTACCATTTTGGAAAAATCTCTAAAGAATCTATCAAGAAAGGTAAGATACAGTATATTGTATATAGTATCCTCCTGTTTAGACTTTTAAAACTGATTTGAAAAGCTATATGTGCTTCTGTGTGCATCAAAACTTCTAGAAGGATACAAAAGGTTGCCTCTGGGGAAGGGATCAGGAAATTTGAATGAGAGGGAAATTTCTTTGTAACACTTTTGTACCTTTTGGTGGTATTTTGATTTTTCACCATGGGCATGTGGTACTTTTTAAATACCAAAAAAAGAGTTTGAAAAATAACATCACTATAAAATAACTTTAGACAACTCTTGGCTTACCTTGTGCATCATCTCTAGCAAATATTCGGGTAAGAGCTGCTACCTGTCGCCTTGCAGCTGCCGACTGCTACTCAGCACGATTTTTATCTCCTTTGGTAATGTTTATATAACTCAAGCCATGCAAATGAATTGTAATACTTCACTGAGCAAATTATGATCACAATGGGATATCTGTCTGCTGGCGAATTGCAAGTGCCATGTATTCAAAATAAATGAAATAATTTGGGGCACCATCTACATTACTGTCTTCCTCTGTAGCATGTTAAGTGAGAATCGACTGTCCCTATAAATTTCTGATAAACATGAGTGTCAAGAAAAGTTATAGTAAATAATAGAAATAAATGACATTGATGGTAGGTAAGAAAGTTCCTGAATGTTTAAGATTTGTCATTAATTTCCTGTAATGGAAACCCTTTTCTACATTCTCTAAGACCCTGAAAATTATCGGCGAGATTATTCGAGTCGATCTAGCCAAATGAAGCCCCATTTCCCTTATTCTCTTCCTTCCACTAAACAATGACTAAGCTCCAAATGAATGGGTCCCTATTATATTGGGAAACCAAGTGGAAAAAGACAGTCATGGGGAAAAGAAGTTCAGGCAAATTCCAGAAAGGGTAGAAAGAGGACTGTATATTTGGTGCTAATGGGAGTGCTTGCAAAAATGCCACTTTCTATATTTCTCCAATTGTATTTGGCTTGAGAAAGAGGGTTGTGAAATTTAGTAGCCAGCGAAATGCAGTTTTCCCCTGACTGGAAACCTTTCCACTGCATGAGTGGAAAGTTCTCTGAGTGAGCTGTGTATGTTCTAAGGTGACTCCATTTCTCATTGCAGAAAAACGCCTGTCTAGGGGCATCTCCCACGCCAGCTCCAGCATTGTTTCCCTGGCCCGCTCCCATGTCTCCTCCAATGGTGGGGGTGGGGGGAGCAGTGAGCACCCCCTGGAAATGCCCATCTGTGCCTTCCAGCTTCCAGACCTCACTGTGTACAATGAAGACTTCCGCAGTTTCATAGAGAGAGACCTCATTGAACAGTCCATGCTGGTCGCCTTGGAGCAGGCAGGTCAGTGAGTGCTTCCTTTCTCATGCTCTTCCCCGTGATCTCCACGTGTAGGCAGCCACACGGCCAGGCTGGCCTGGACCAGCAGCTTCCAGTCTAAGTGTGTGACCTGACACGGTCAAGGCCAGCAGTCAGGCAGATAAACATGCACTGAGGTAGGCGCCTCTTCAAGTTAAAGAAAAAACACAAATTAGACAGTCTCCTCTGGAAATGTCCTATTTCACGGAAGGGAAACCAGATAGAGATACATGTGAAAGGCCTAGGAATCAATACCTAAAAATCAATACATGAAAAAAATACAAATGAATTACAATTGGCTCTGGGACACCCCTGTGCACAGAAAGAACCAGGGCTGTAGACAGTGCACAGTGGTGATTAATCTAAGTCACATTTATTCATATGAACTTTTCCCAAAAGATTTCTTTACCTTTATAATTGTGTTTGTCTTAAATTATTGTTGAAGTTTGTTAATATGATGGGATGAGGTAGCTGGGCATTCTGGGAAAGCTAGTCAGTATTAAAAATACTCCCATGGAAGGACCTAGGGGATGAGGGGTGGGGCATGAAAAGGAAGTATTTTTCATTTTGTACCCTTCTAAGCACGTGCATCGATTCATATATTTTTTTTTTTTTTAGCTGAGCCATCCTGCCAGTTCAGTGGCAACTCAGCTCGGGCCCATGTGGGAATCAAACTGGCAACCCTGTTGCTCAGAGCTCGCACTCTTGAGCAAGCTCTTAACCAACTGAGCCACTCGGCCAGCCCCTGATTCGTAATTTTTTTAAAGTTGGCAAGTTATCTGGCAAGATTATAGGCCAGTTTTTCTTTCTGTAGACTTTTCAGTAATTCAGAAAAACTTTGAAGCATCATCCTTGAAATATTTTCCTCGTGTAAATAATGGGTTGGCCATTGTGGGGTGACTCCACAAAACCGAGACTTGTCTTCTGGATATTCTGTGTACTGTCTTACTGCTCGTGTCATTGAAATCATACCACATACATGCTGACATGCTAACTGTCATATTTGCAAATGGTACTTGCATGACACTTTGAATATTTACCTGAGGTGGTTTTTCTTTTAGTGTTGGTGGATTCGTTCATGCTCAGCTCTGTAGCTACAATATTTACTCATCTTCCTGACCCGAGTGAAGGAATCAGACAGACTAAGGAGACAATAGAGATTTCAGCCTATGACCTTGGCCTCATCCTCTCACCCAGCGTTGCTCAACCTTAGCACTGTTAACATTTAAGACCAGACAATTCTTTCTTGTATGAGCTGCTTTGTGCTTTATATTGTGTTTAGAGCCTCCCTGGCCTCTACCCACTAGATGCCAGTAGCATTCCTCCACCAGTTATGACAACCAAACATTTCGAGACCTTGCCAAATATACCCTTGGGGACAAAACTGTCCCCACTTAAGAATCCCTGATCTAACCAGTTGTGCTCAGCAGATTCTGATTGACCAGATATAAGTGAAGAAGGTACAAAGAGTAATAACAGCGTGATGGTTTTCTTCTGGTAGGCTTCCTAGAGGAGGCAGATTTCGAGTCTGTTTTCAAAACAGGGAAGTGGAAAGGGCTTTTTATGGGTAACCTGCTCTTCTTTTCCTCCTGTTTCTGCAGGACGGTTGAACTGGTGGGTGAGCGTGGACCCCACCTGTCAGAGGCTGCTTCCTTTGGCAACTACTGGAGATGGAAACTGCCTCCTGCATGCAGCGTCTCTTGGTGAGTCTGGAAAGTGGCCCCCATCCCGTTCCCTCATAGAAAGGAATTGATAGAGTTAAATCTCATGTACAGGCCTTGATCCAGCCAACCTTGATCTTAGCAGAAGTGATGGTTCAGAACAAGGTCATGTGTGTGTGCATGCGCGCACAGGAGGAGAAAGCAGAGAATCCTGCTTGGTTTTTCAGTGTTGTTCAGAGATCGTATGGAGAACACAAATTGACCGTGGGTCCCGCTCTGAGAGCTGACCCCCAGAAGTCATGAGCAGCCGGAAGCAAGCAGCATATAGCTCTGTGTGTGTGGATCATTCTACTGAATATTTATTCTTTTGGTATATAAAACAGATATATTTTCATCAGTCCCTTGTGAGACTTGTTTACTTCGAATTATAAAAACTATTTATAGTTCAGTATATTATTTGCCTTAGCTTTAAAAAAAGTCCCCATTTTCCAACCATTCCTCAAGCTTTGATGCTGATTACATGTGCCAGATCTATCTTATGTGCTGCTACTCCATTTTAGTTTGTTAGTCTTGCGTCAGGAGTAAGGGCCTCTGTCAGGAGTTTGTAGGATGTGGTATACCCCCACTTTCAAGTCCTCAACGTTTCTGAACCGCCAGAGTAGGAGCATCTTTTCTTTCTTGATTAAGTACCTTCCCCTAAGTCATAGACGGGTTTCTTTGAACTTGGGCTTCAGCCTGACTTCCTTCATGCCAGGGTCTGTGTATCATAACTAAAAAGCGGAGGTGAGTCAAGGTAAGGTGCCTTACCATTGTTTTCTTTCCGCAGGGATGTGGGGCTTCCATGATCGGGACTTGATGCTGCGGAAAGCTTTGTATGCACTGATGGAGAAGGGAGCCGAGAAGGAAGCATTAAAACGGCGCTGGAGGTGGCAGCAAACGCAGCAGAATAAAGAGGTGAGGGGGCTTCGGTGGGGGACCTTGTTACCCAGCAGAAATGCCCAGTACCTGCCAGTAGGAAGTGTCTGCAGGTGCCTAGTTCAATGATACTCCTCTCGTAATTCTGGAATTTGTAGAAAATGCAGACAATACCATTTATCAGAAGGGTACATGCCTTCTGTTCTAGACATGAGAACTTGTGGGGAAGCTGAGACCTACAGAGGAGATATCGTAACTGTGCTTGTCACCTGATAGGTGCTCAGTAAGCCTTCAGTGGCAAGCTTTTGCAAAATGAGGCTCGGCGAGTCCATAGGATTTTTGTATTGTTTTGATTTTTTTGCTTATATTAAGGCCAGACCAATTTCTAAAGACTTATGTTTTCAGCCCATGTAGAAATATAAATGCTTAAAATTTTGGGGGGGAAATGGTATATACCATTTATTTTTCAAATAGTTGTTTCAAAAATTCAAAACCATGTCTGTTAAATTGAATTTGAATGGTACCTCTCAGGGGTTTAGCAAATGTTGAAGCTGTTTTTGTATAAGAAAGAAACAATGGACTCTTTGTACTTTACATCCCCATGACAGGGGTTGGGCAAACGATGGCCTGTGAGCCAAATCCCACCAACTGTGTTCGTTAAAAAACGTTGTATTATCATCTGTAAAATCGGTTTAAAGGAGAATGCATCATCTAATACCTATGGGTTTACTTTATATTTTAATGCTCACTTTTTATATTGAGAATTTTATTAAATGTCTTTTCAATATTTTAAGATTAAAAAAAAAGTTGTATTGGAACACAGCCCCACCCATTCATTTACATGTGTACATTTATGTAAATGCTTTCCTGCTACGGATTGAGTCGATGCATATGGCCTGCAAAGGCTAAAAAGATTCACCATCGGGCTCTTTACAGAAAAAGCTTGCCCACCCCTTCCCTATAGTAACGAGTTAGATATTGACATAAAGACAGTGGGTCTCCCTATTTCTTTTTCCCCTGGTTCTCTGTCTTCCATGTTTATTTCCTGTTCTTCAGGTATATTTATTTTTTTTGTCGTGTATATGGCTGGGTGTTTCTGGTATGAATATGGAAACATCTCTTCCGAAACTTTCCTTTTTCTTTCCATCTTCTTTCTTTTCTCCTTTTATTGCTCTATCATAACTGGCCATTATATAGAACTAAGAGATTTTTTTTTTTAGTTATTAGAATTTTGTGTCCTGAAAAATTTAAATATGTAAGTAGGATGTGTTATGTTTCTTTCTCAAAAACAAAGAACCTATTGTTAAACCTCAGATGATATTAAGATCAGAACCCTGTTTTTGATCAGCCCATCTGCCCTGGAAGGTTCCTGAGGGAAATGAATGCACAGGGGCAGAGCCCAGTAAACAGCACGTGCTTTATACCACCAAACCCTATGGCTCCCTGCTGAGCGTAGCTGGACCTTGTGGAGGGAGAGCTGCTTTGGCCTGAGCCAGAGCCAGCCCAGAATCTTGCCTTCTTCACTGTTGGATTCACACCATACCTGAGCCTTAGATTTGACCAATCCATAGACAAAACAAGGCCAAACCTGAGCCTGCTGGCTAGTAAGTAGAAGTGACACAACCGTCAGAGAATAGGTGTGTCCAAGTCCAGCTTTTGAGCTGTTAATAGTTATTATTTTAAATGTGGGGTTAGATGATAGTGGTATTTAGCCAGGAGACCCAGAAATCGCCGAGTTCTATTCTTGGTCAGCCACCTATCCCTCTCAAAGTCCACGTGGAAATACATCCATAGAGAATAGTGGCTGTCAAACGAGCCATCTTTTCACTCCTTTTGCTGGGCACTCGTAAGTTCTGTACTAGAAATGTGGCCAGATAATTGTTTAGTAGCTCAGACCACTCAGACCTTGAGAGTAAGGGGGCAAGGGGGGAAGGTGATGGACCGGTGGGCTTCTTTTAGCCAGCACCAAACATCATACTAAAACGAGTTTGATTTCCCGGACCTCCTTGTTTTGTGTTGAAATTGGTGGTAAATAAAACCCAGTAAACTTTTTCAGGCTAGAACGTTCCGCCACCTAGTGGCTGTGTATAAAAACGGGAAGCCGAAATAGGTAAGAGGAAGTGACATTTCCTGCATCACTGACCATATAGCAGTGACCAGAGCATCCCATGGGAATATAACCTGTGGTGTCCTTATTATTTTTGAATTGAAAAAAATTTGTGTTAGTGTTTCAGAAACTGAAAAGAGCTTTGTCATTTTTTTAAAAATTAAAGTCAAATGCGCTCACAACGGCTCTAATTCCTGTTAAATTTGTTCCTGATACCCCCATGTTTCCATTTTGACTCTTGTTCCTCTGTCAGTGTGTGTGTGTTAAGCAGTATGAACTCATTTTAATACTAATGTAAGCCACATATAATAAGGTAGACTCATTTCCTAAATCCTAGACATCCTAAAGCCAATGTGAGAGTTTTAGGTCATGTGTACCACTTCTGTTCCTTTGATTAAAATTAGTGTCACTCAGCATGTACTTATTGATTACTGATCACATAGTAGGCACGGGGCATGTTGCAGAAAACTTGGTCCAGGCCCTTAAGGGTAGCAGAAGGCCATGGACATGTAAATACATAATTGCAACAAAGTAACAGGGCCTGACTTTTGTGATAGGATTCTGTGTGACAGCTGAGGAGGAGGACACACAAGCAGGAGTGGTTGAGGACCAGGGAGATTTAAAAGGTTTCATGGAGGAGTGATACTTGCTTGCATTCTCTCCTGACAGCTGAGAAACTGTTCACCAGGTGGATAGGGAGCGGGCCGCTTCAGGCAGAAAGAACAAGAAGCTTAAACAGAAGCTGAGAGGCATAAAACAACATGGTGTCTTCAAGGAAGTGCCGCCAGTTAGATAACATTAGACTAGAGAGGTGGGTAGGGGACAGGAAGTGGACTTCATATGCTATGCTTAAAGGCATTTGAACCAGATCTAATAGGTAATGATGATTCTTAAAGGAATTTGTAGCAGGAAGCAAACATCATTAGTTTTACTTTTAGAAAAATCTTTCTGGTAGCATTGTAGAACATGGATCAGGAGAAGTATGACTGGAATTAGTAAAACCAGTTGAGGGTTCACTGCGGTAGTTATTAATAATTGTTGGCTAAAGGCATCTGAGTGCAGGGTGGGCGAAAGGAGAGGAGTCTTCAATAACTCCTGGGCTTCTAGCTTGGATGTTTTAAGTGCTCGTTCATGCTTTCACTAAAGTAGGAATATAGGAAGAAGAGTGAGTTTTGGAAGAAGTAGGGGTTCGGTTTTGACTATGTAGAGTTTGAGGTAGTCATGGGCAGGTGGTGATCTTCAGGAGGTAGCTGACTGTGCCTATAGAAATGAAGAGGCAGTCTGGGCCGGAGAGGGGAGAGTTTAGAGCCCTGAGCATGTAGATGGCAGTAGAGGAGATTGTGGCAGTAGATGAGGTCGCCCAGAAGGAACCACGGCTAACGTCTTTGCCACAGAAATTTTGTGGGGTATATTTCTGGGATGCAGAGTTCACAGAGGTAGGAGAAAGTAGTGTTGTGGAAGCTGAAAGAGAAGAAAGTTTAAAGAGATAAAATGCCACAGGAAGGCTAAGAAAGCTGAGAACCAGAGAGTCCTCTGAATTTGGCAATTAGAAGGTCATTGTCCTTTGCCGGAGTCGGTTATTGAGGTGTTTTGTGCAGGGTGAGGGGCTTTGGCTGAAGGGCAGAAACAGAAGCTAGATTGCAATGGGTTGGAAAGAATGGAAGAAAAAGAAATGGAAGAGAGATCATAAACTTCTAGTTCATGGATCTTGACTATAAAAGGGAGAGACTTGACTCTGTAGTACAAATTATAACCCAAATGCTAAGAGAAATAGGGAGTGAGGTACCTCTGTGAGTGAGTGGAATGGCTGTTGCCTCTTGAGCTAGCCTCTAATTGCTTGCTATCCCTGCCTTTCTGTCACATAGTCAGGGCTGGTGTACACAGAGGATGAATGGCAGAAGGAATGGAATGAGCTGATCAAACTGGCCTCAAGTGAACCCCGCATGCATCTGGGTACCAATGGAACCAACTGTGGTGGGTAAGTGTGGCTAAGTTGGGGAGCAGGAATAACCGACTGAGTCCTCAGTGTCCAGAGAGCTCTGTGCTAAGAGGATGTTAGAAGTAAAGAGAGAAGCCATGGCAAGGGCACAGAACACGGGAACACAGGTGGCTCGGTATTGCTGAAGTATAGCGCACGTGCTGCGGTGACAGATGAGGCCATGCAGTCCAGAGAGTGTGTGCTGTGCTGAGGCTTCTCTTGTTCCATGCTAAGGAATTAAAATTGTATCCTCTCCAGAGCTGGGGGAAGCTGCAGGGCAAATGACCCAGTTTCCTCAGTAAATAAAATGCAAGGAAGATAAAAAGGGAGAGGGAGCCTAGGTTTCGAGACATTTGATAGACACATCAGCCAATCTCAATGTCCGGGCATTTATAAGACAGTTGGGAAAAGGTGAACAATGTCTGCATGTTTTATTATTCACTTATTAAAAGTGTAATATTAATGGTATTGTGGATATTTTTTTAAAAGGAATTACTTTTTAGAGATAGATACAAACTGAAATATTTATGGATGAAATGATGCGATGCCTAAGATTTGCTTCAAAATAATCAGGTGGGTTGGGTGGGTGTGGGGGCTGTGACAGAGAAGTAGATCAAGGTCTAGGGGAACCAAGACTGACCGCGTGTTTATCATTGCTGAGGCTGGGTGATGGATACATGACAGTTTAGTACAATATTCTTTCTAGTTTTGAATATGTTTGCAATTTTGTATAATAAAAACCTAAAAACTAGAGCCTATCTCAACATTATTGTGCAGAAGAATAATCTGGGAGAATTGTTTAAAATGCAGCTTTCTAGACCTCCTCCCTTCAGTTGGACTGAGGTAAGGCCCAGAAATCTGCATTCATCGCAAGCACCCAGCGTTGACTGATTGCTTTGAGGGGAGCAGAAGGCTGCTGGGCTGTGTGCACGTGACCAGAGCAGATTCGTGTATCTCAGTACGCTGACAGCAGAATGGATGATGAAGTGGAGGGAGGGAGACTAGAGGCAATTGTAGGGATCTAGGAAAGAGAGCGCCGTGGGTATGGACAAGAGTGGGGGGTGACAGGCAGACAAGCTGGGGGAGGCAGGTGCCAGAGACCTAGGAGACGGAGCTGGCCAAGCCAGGTGATTCAGTGGAGGGAGAGATAAAGAACAGTAAATGCTGCACACATTTCTGATTAGACTGCTGGGAACAGAAGAGGAGGAAATTGTGTTTCTTTTGTTGTTTGTGAAAGGCCACGATGAGTGTGACGTGTGGGTGGTTGTGGTGGGTGAAGTCAGCAGCATGCGGTGACCCAGCTATGTACTGATGAAGAGAACTGGGGAAGGTTATTAAACACCACGGGGATTAAGAGAGGGATCGCCTCCAGATTCCTGCCGCTGCTTTAACCCCCGAGCCTCCAAATCTCTTCTTGAACTTCCCCAGCTCTGAAATGGAAGTAGAAACAGCCCAGGTAGCGTCAGATAATCAGCGACGCCTGAGGCGGCCTTAGGAGGAGAAAACCAGGGAAGGACATCCAGCCCTCTATTTCCTCTTTGTAGAGCCGGTCTTCAGGGCTCTCTTGTTTTCTTTTCTTTTATTTTCTCTCCTTTCTACTCTCGCCCCTGGTGCACCTCCAGGGTGGAGAGTTCAGAGGAGCCTGTCTATGAGAGTCTGGAAGAATTCCACGTCTTCGTCCTTGCCCACGTGCTCAGGAGGCCCATCGTGGTTGTGGCAGACACCATGCTGAGAGACTCTGGAGGAGAAGGTGAGTCAGTCCTCACTGGGCCCTGAGCACCCCGTTTGCAGAGCCGTGGGCTAAGCATTAGTTGGCAGGAGCACAGACAAGGGGAAATTAGGACAATGCCGAATTCTCAGGAGTAAAGCAGCTGGGGTTCATAGATGAGGCTTCTTGGGAAAGAATTATTAAGCAGCAGTTGGAATGAAAGGGGGGTTTCAATTGGCAGAGTGGGGTGGAGGGATTGCCCACTAGGCTGGAGCCTTACTAATAATCTTTGTGGTTTCCTGCAGCGTTCGCCCCTATTCCCTTTGGGGGAATCTACCTGCCCTTGGAGGTCCCAGCCAGCCAGTGCCACCGCTCCCCTCTGGTGCTTGCTTACGATCAGGCCCACTTTTCTGCACTTGTGTCCATGGAGCAGAAGGAGAGCGCCAAGGAACAAGGTGCGGAATGCGGTGTCAGGGTCTCTGGTGTCTCCACTCTGCATTGTTTTCATTTGGGAAAACTAAAATGAGAGTGACTATAGGAGGAAAGAATTCCGTGACATGCAAGCCGGGCCAGGGTTGATACTGTCTAGCTAAGCTGCAAGATATACTAGGGTTTTAAAATTTAAAAAAAAAAAAAAAAAAGCCTTGGGGAAAAACACAGCCGCCTGTATTCCCTGCTCTCCGTCCTAGAGTACAGAGCTCATGTATGAAGGTCATAGAACCTTCCAGATGGGGCTTTACTCTGTTTGTCTTAATAGTGACGTTGAGTTCCCTGAATCCACACATTAACTGGCAAGACTAGCATGGGTGTTGACTGACTGATGGGGAGTCGTGGAGACAAGTGGTCTAAATTGGATGCTGGGTAGAAAAGAAAAAGCAGCCGGTTCATTTTTAATGCAGGGTAGTTCGCAGGTAAGAGCTGAGAAGCCAGTGCAGCCGCCGTGCCACCCCTGCGCAGACTCAGCTGCTTGTCAGCGAAGCCGGTCTGTTCCGTTGCCCTCCTCTCTCCTCGAGGAGCCTCCTGAATAACATGTTTTTTTCCTTCCCAGCCGTGATCCCACTTACCGACTCCGAGCATAAGCTGCTGCCCTTGCACTTCGCCGTGGACCCTGGGAAGGGCTGGGAGTGGGGCAAAGACGACAGTGACAACGTCCGATTGGCCAGGTGAGGCAGGCATAGCCGTCGCATCTGCTGTGTAGCTGCCACCTCTTCCACATACAGCGCCTGCCTCACGGGCACCTGGCCTCGGCTCAGAGGCAGGACACTCACATCCGAGCGCCCGTGTCTTTGGGAAGATGGAGAGGTGGGAGGCAGGTCGGGCACCCGGACTCTTGCAGCATGGTGCTGCTTTTTCTCCGTGCAAGAAAGAGATGGGAACCCTGGGATCTCAACTTGTTCTTTCCTTGCAGCATAAAAAGTGTTCTTGCACTGATAGCTCCCTGAATCCCCCCAAATCAGAAAATCAGTGTGCACTTCTCTTCCCATCCCAAGTGAGAGGGGTTTTAAGTGGTTGATGAAAATAGTTTGCTCTAAATTTTTGCCCTTCTGGAATTTAAACAGCAAGAAAAACACGTTCTCCCTCACCCCTCGACCCGCCTCCCAGAAGCTGGTCTAGCCTTCCTCCTGCCCCTCTTCCCCCCTCCCCCCATCACACTTTCTACGAAGAGTATATGGATGCTTCTTACCCAGCACTTCCATCTTTGGGCTCCTGAAACTGGGATCTGAAACTAAGAGGGTTTGATTTAAAAACCCAGAGTTTATGGCTTTTTAAGGAAGGGCTCACCTGACTTTCAAAAGCTCCTTCTAAATATTTACAACAGTAACAATGTTTAGTTTTTCCTGTTTTCCAGATACTGCTGGGCCCTTTCCAAATATCCTTTTAATCTTCCTAACAACCCCACAGGCTAGATTATTCTCTGTGCCCATTTTCAATCCCAGCAGAATTTCAGGGCGGTTGAGGTGACTCGCTCAGGTCATCAAGCCTAGTAATTGGCGTAGCTGTAATTCAGCCCCAACCTGTGTGAGTCCCAAGCCCTGCGGCCTTCTCCCACTCGACCTCCCATGTGACCATCACACTGCTTTGCTTTCCAAGGTCACAGTACGTTTCTAATCCTTTTTCCTCCTTTTCACAGTGTGATCCTGTCCCTAGAGGTCAAACTGCATCTGCTGCACAGCTACATGAATGTCAAGTGGATCCCGCTGTCCTCTGGTGCCCAGGTGAGGACGTGGCCGCCTCCCCCTTGCGCATTCTCCGTTTCGGTGACAAGGAGAACAAGGCGACCCGGTGGACTTCTCCTTCCGGGTCTCGTCTGGGTGGTGGCCTGTGGTTCACGGTTAGGGAGAACTGGACCATGTCAGAGAAGTTCCAGGGGACACTTTTTTCTGCTGTTCACCTGTCAGTGCCCCATTTTCCACATCTCTCCAGCCCAGCGCTGCTTCTGGTACTAAGACACATTCTTCAAGAGAAGCTTTCTGGACTTTCGGTGAACTTGAGATTGTTATTTGTCCCAAGCCCTATATACAAAGACCTCTGTGTTGGGCACCAGAGGAGACAGAATAGCTTAAAGAGTTCTGATCCCGTAGGTTCTGGGACATCCCTGTCGCCCACAGAACAGACACCCAGGAGCCAGGGCACACTGCGGGTCCCAGCGCTGAACGTCTAATAGCTGAGGGGATACGGAGTGGTTAGACTTGGTGGTTGTGGTTGGTCAAGGCTCTTGATTTGGGGCAGAATTTGGCATGAGGACATTTATAAGAAAGAACATCCTAATGTCTGTAGAATATTCTCCCTCCTCTCCCAGAGCCCATGTCTTGTATAGTTAGTTATTCATCGCTCCAGAAGAGAGGCAGGCTTCATTTTAATATCTCCTTGTTACAGGGCAGGCAGATGGCAGGGGGGTGAGATAAATGCTGCATATTAGACACACCTTCCCCTTGTCCCCAGGAGAGCTGACTGGAGCTGGGGAAGGACAGTGCCCTCCTGGGTGACCCTTCCCCCCTCATGACAGCAGCCCTTCTCTGAAACTAGGCAGTCACTCCAAGGATGGAGGTCGGAGGGGTGTTACCCCCCCTCTTCCACATGGCTATTCCTGTAGCAGTGGTGGGGGGAGTCCCATGAGCCGGATGGTTGGGCTAGGGGTGTCCCTGGGGGCCTCCCCCAGCCCAGACCAGTGGGACACCTGACAGCCCAGTTCTCGTCTCTTCCAGGCTCCCCTGGCCCAGCCCGAGTCCCCCACGGCCTCAGCTGGAGACGAGGCCCGGTCCACTCCTGAGTCTGGGGAGTCGGATAAGGAGTCAGTTGGCAGCAGCTCCACCAGCAACGAGGGCAGCAAGCGGAAGGAGAAGTCCAGACGAGACCGGGAGAAGGACAAGAAGAGGGCCGACTCCGTGGCCAACAAGCTGGGCAGCTTTGGCAAAACCCTGGGCAGCAAGCTCAAGAAGAACATGGGCGGCCTGATGCCCGGCAAGGGCTCTAAGCCCGGAGGGCTGGGGGCGGGGCCCGGGGCAAGCAGCGGCACTGAGACGCTGGAGAAGAAGAAGAAGAGCTCGCTGAAGAGCTGGAAGGCTGGCAAGGAGGAGGCGGCCGGGGACGGGCCTGTGTGTGAGAAGCCCACGTCCGAGCCGGTGGGCAATGGAGGGAGCAGGTATAGCCAGGAGGTGATGCAAAGCCTGAGCATCCTGAGGACTGCCATGCAGGGGGAGGGCAAGTTCATCTTCGTCGGAGCCCTGAAGATGGGTCAGCGGCACCAGTACCAGGAGGAGATGATCCAGCGCTACCTCTCCGATGCTGAGGAGAGGTTCCTGGCCGAGCAGAAGCAGAAGGAGGCCGAGAGGAAGATCATGAACGGAGGGGTGGGGAGTGGGCCTCCCCCGGCCAAAAAGCCCGAGCCAGACGGCGGGGAGGAGCTGCTGCCAGCCCCCCAAGCGGAGTCGCAGGCAGTGGCATTCTCTGCTGGCTACCCCGGGGGCTTTACTATCCCTCGGCCTTCTGGGGGTGGGGTGCACTGCCAGGAACCCCGGAGGCAGTTGGCAGGGGGCCCGTGTGGGGGGAGCCTGCCACCATACGCCACCTACCCCAGACAGTGTCCTCCTGGGCGTCCCTATCCCCCTCAGGACAGCAGCCCTTCTCTGGAGCCCGGCAGTCACTCCAAGGACGGGGCTCCCAGGGGCGCACTGTTACCACCTACCTTCCGCGTGGCTGATGCCTACAGCAACGGCTACCGGGAGCCCCCCGAGCCAGATGGATGGGCCGCAGGGCCCAGGGGGCTGCCCCCCACCCAGACCAAATGCAAACAACCGAACTGCAGCTTCTATGGACACCCCGAGACAAACAACTTCTGCTCCTGCTGTTACAGGGAAGAACTGAGGAGGAGGGAACGGGAACCGGGTGGGGAGCTGCTGGTGCACAGGTTCTGACTGGGGGCCTTGGAGGGCAAGGGGGCGAAACAGAGTGAAGCTCAACTCACTGGCTCATCAAGACCCAGCCCCCACGTTGACGGGGCAAATGAAGGAACGTGTGTTGGGAGCCTGGCTAGAAACTCTGAAGGGTGTGTGCGCTCGAGAGCCGCCAGGCCTGCGAGAGCAGGTCAGGGCTGGCGGCGCCTCGGGCTGTACCGGGCGGGCCTTTGCAGATCTTACCTTGATGGGACTGAGTAGGTACAAGGGGCAAGGTGGCGATTCTGTCTCACAACCCCTTGGGTCCATCCTGGGACCTACAGGAAGATTGGGGCTGGAGGGCAGAAGTCGGGGGTAGGAACAGGCAAAGGGGGTTCTCAGTCAATAAAAGAGAAAAACAGACCAAAGCTCTTTTAGGTTGGAAAAAAAGCACATGGTGGAGTTGGGAGTGTGGAGGGAAACTGGGAATGAGACAGACTTACTCTTGATTTGAATTAAGGTAGAAATTAGGGTTGGATAAATTCTTCCTTAAGGATCTGGAAAGACAGTGCCATCGTGTGTGCTCATGGGTACCTGTTAGGAGGGAGGTAGTTAAAATTGGTTTATTGAGATGGGAAAGGGAAGGACTTACACGGGGAACCCTTTTCCTCTTAGGTTTTGTTTCCTTCTGAACACCATCTGTCATCTGTTCTAGTTCGAGAGATTAGCAATTGCCCCCATCAAAATTTCCCTCACCCTTTTTGAGGGCTGAGCTCCACTAAGTTAAGAAGGTTGTGATTTTTTTTTTAAGACTTTAATTTTTATTTTTTTTTTAAAGTTCCCTCTGGGGAAGGGAAGAGAGTGAGTGATGAGAAGAGCAGCTGTGTGTGTTGACTTTTCTCCAGGTGAATTGGTGCAGAGGTGACTTTTTTTTAACTACTTAGCAATAACCACATACTGGGGTTTGAGCGCCTCGCCTCAGGAGGAGTGGGAAGATGGACCTTCGGCCAGACTGTTTCAAACAAAACCAAAAACCTAAATAGAGCACTACCATCCTCTGCTGCTGCATTTCTGTAGAAAGCAACTTACTTTTTTGCCTTTTTTTTTTTTAAGGAAAAGAAACAAAAAGACCCCAGCAAGCAAAAACATTTTAAAAAATGAATTTTTCCCCCCTATTTAAGTGATTCCTTCCTCTCTCGTTTTGGAGAATGAACTGAACATCCCGGCTTCTTTTGTTAAGCCATAGCTGACCTTAATCTGTGGTTAGTTTATGAAAATAAAAACAAGACTTTTAAGAAGAGATATTTTTGATAATAGGACTGATGTTGAAAAATGCGGGAGGGGCTGGGACAATGTATTAAAAGGCAGAGAAATATATTTTAGTGAACTATGACCACAGATGACTCCCGATGAGCTGATCTGTCTTTGGATCTCCCCCTTTCCCTGACCAGCCCCTTCCCCAAGGGGTGGGAGTGGACACAGCAGGGGAGTTCTTTGCATTTTGCACAAAGCACAAGTCTGGACAGCCTACACTCTGGCCAGCACCATTTTTAAGAGCTTTAAGCCAGAGGACCTATCCTGGGCCAATTTTCCTTTTTCTTTATTATTTTTCTGGGGAAAAAAATCAACTATGCAATTGTATACACTCTTGGGTGCATACGAAGAAGGGGAATAAGTGTACTTAAAGAGCCCAGGTGTTCACGGGGGCTATTTTCCTGTATTTGGATTTCTCTTTGGAGGTATGTACTCATAACCCACCCCATGGAATGTAATCCCCACATTTGATCTAAGGCAGACAGGGTCTGGGTGTGCGTGTTGGGGGGACTCATGTTTGCCATATGTTGCTTCTGCCCAATCAGGAAAGTTGTCATTCTGTTTCTCCCTTGGTCACAAAAGCCACCAAGACTGTCCTCTTTATCGGAACTGCTCACAGTTTAGAAAGGTTCCTTCCTCAACAAACTTCAAAGTCACTTATTTTCCAAAGCTGATAGTCTGTTGATTTAATCATTTCCTATGGCTATGAATCCTTAGGCTTTTATAGACTGGTTTTAAGGAAGCAACGAGGTCAAGGGAGATAGGTACCAAAGGAGAAGATGTATATATTTGGGGGGGGGGGGGCTGGGACTAGTATGAGATGAGCACTCCCCTGGTACAAAACCTAAGGTGGGGGGGGGGTCCTGAAACCTCAGTAATCAAGGTAAATACTGTTGGAATGCAGTATTTTTAAAAATGCAAAAAAATCCGTGATGAACAAAATACCAAAATTTTAAAGACAGGATTCAACAGGACTGGGATTAGAGTGAGGGAAATAAGGCTGAGCTGAGCGAGTACGGGATCCTGTCTATTTAAAATTGTGACACTTTGTTCATTGTGGGGGTTTCTTTTTGTTTTTTGTTTTTTTACATTAGTTTTGATTTTCAAAAAATACTGCATTAAAATAATAGTATCTTGGTTACTGGGTTTTGGACACCCCTTCAATTTTGTGCCCCACATGAGTGCCTTGCTCACCTCACCCTGTTTCTGGGGTTGGAACACCACCTCTCGAGCTTCGTTCCTTAACATATGCACCCAACAACAGGTGGCTCATACACCTTGAATTTGCACAGCTCACCTCGCGTTCCATAGGCATCGTCTGTATCATAGGATTCTGGCCTGGACCAATAGGAGTGGACACAGACCAGGGGTATTCCCAGAGAATAAAACCAGGAAAGTTTTGATTCTCCGCAGGACTGCTGTGTTTGGATTTGATCTGTTGCTAGATTTTAGTTAATAACTCTTGTTTTTAAAAACAGGACAAATGAACAAAAACGGAAACCTTGTGTCATGTTTGCTTTTGTTTTGATTTATAAATTAACTAAACCCAATTTCTTCTGACTTCTTTTCAAATAAAAAAGGTGGAAACTTGGGGGTTGGGGTGGCCATGGGGTGAGGATGGTAAAATAGGGCTTTACTTAGGCCCTATAGCTTTTTATGAAGTAATAAATTAATATTTTTCTTAATTTGGGAAGGTAACTTTATTGAGGCATTAAAAAAAACCTCTCCATTCTAAGGACCTTGAGTCAATGGATGCTTTTCTATAGAGATGAGTAAGGTTTGTTTTGCCTTATTGGGGAGGAGATTGTGTGGGATGGGAGGGGGGGGAGGTGAAGTGATAATGCCTGAGAAATGAACTCCAGTTGGTTTGCGGTATTTTGGGAAGATGAGGGGGTGGAAGAGGCAAGCCCATGCAATTACTGTGTAGAGGGGAAGGGAGGAGAGTGGTACACGCGTGCACTCAAAATGAGCAGAAGTTCCTTAGTTAAGGAGAGGTCTGGGTGAAGGGGGTAGGCAGACCCCTTAACCCTAGATGAGGATGATAGCATCTCTCAGGCTTACATAAGTGCACTTAGTTCCTTTAATCCAGGGCATCGGGGTGCCTACTGAGGTATTTATTGGACGGGGGAGATTTCACCTTATAAGACAGTGCTACCTGTCCGCCGACTTTCCCCAGCCCTGATGGAACAAGTACACTGTAGGGTAAGCCTCCAAACTCCTCCCTTCATCTATGCTGGTTTAACTGAGGGTCACAAGATTTAACCAGAAGTTTTCCCCTCATACTGGATTCTATCATCAAAATAAAAAGATTATATAAAAAAAATTTTTTTAAGATCCCGTTTCTTTACGGAGTGGTGATGGTGATAAACAGTGCTGTACAGGGCCTGACTGAAGTATCCTCTTGTTGACTCAGTTTTTCAAGCAAAACTAAAGCTCACAGACCAATAAAACAAGCAAAAATTAGCAATGACTTCGTATTGTGTATTTGGGAGGTGATACTGAGCCGAAAAGAATGGAGCTGGTTCTGAATGACTTCTGAGGACCTAGCTTTTACCATTCTTACTCCTAAACAGCCAATGTCCAGGGTTCCAGTCACATTTTTTCTTTCCCAATAAAGGAACCAGAGATGATTGTCCCTGAGTTACTCAGACTCTGGACTCTGTCCTCTTCTTTCTCCAAGGAGTCAGTGCCCCAGACACACAGCCACAAGCAAGAAGACATATTTAGAAGCCCCTTCCTAACCGGGAATCATCTGCACCCCAGATTCTTCTAGTTTCTTTTTCCCTCCAGGCCGCAGATTCAGTGAGTCATCCGGGCACTGTCTCTTTCACGGTAGATAACCAGTCAGCAAATCACAGGGTGTTTGGCCCCCTGTACTTAAACTGATTAACCAAATATTTATTATGAAGTGTCCCCCGTAGACACTTGGTGCTGCCTCCCTTCACTGGCCGCGAGGGGAAGGGGTCCTGGAAAAGGAAGGGAAGCTGGCAGACAGGAGTGTGGGTGGGGAGGACTGTGGCCTCTTTCTGTACTTATAACTGGATCTGTGACTCAGCTTGTGAGTCACTCAGCTCCACCTCCAGCTGCCCCTCCCAGCAGCCTTCACTCCTGGATTCTGAAAATGGAAAAATCTGATACAGCCCCTTGCTTGCCTTTCCACCCTTCCTTTCACTCCCTAAACCTCCACTGG